CATGTTTAAACGGTGCAAGTGCCTTTTTTCTTTCTTTCTTTCTTTTTTTTTTTTTTTTTTTTTTAATTTATGCGTAAAAGCTTGAGCTTCACTTATTAATTTAAAAATTATATTTGACGAAACCAAATTTAATCGTATATAACAACTAAACAAAACTTTAGGCTCCTTCTCTTTAGACAAGAGAACTAAAAGAAAAAAAAAAAAAAACAAATTCATGCGAAATTATGAATGTACGCGCATAACCGCCTAAAAAGAGTGTGAATGAAATACACCTCAGTGTTTATTCGAATTGTCGCAGCAGGCTTCTATTATAAGCGAAATGAAACAACGCCGAAGTTACGTTCGTAATTAAAAAATAAATGAATAAATAATAACGATCGATTTTTTCTTTAAAAAAATCGACGTACGTAGAAATAAATCGGTGATGCTTATTTACGCGTGTAATATATAAATATAATGTATATGATGAAATACGAATTTAATGTAAATGAAATATAATTACGAATCTGACTTCGGTGATGGGATTTTAATAAATTAATAAAGAAAGCCTGTATTTAGAATTGTAAGCTAGTAAAGGTAAATAAATCTGATAAGCGTTCGCAACTCCATGATCCTAAATAATTTCATTCAAAAAGTTTTTTTATTTTATTTTTTTTCTGATGTTTGTATTCTTCCCGTGCGATAAAAGACAATTCCTGTTACACTTGGAAAAATCTCGTGGTGAAAATTAAAAGTAGAAAAAATATTCGTCATTGTCCAAGTATTTTTCCAACCAAATGATAATTTATTTCTTTGTAAAACTGTATTTAGTAGTTATTTGAGTCCTACAATGATCGTGACTTTGCATTTCACGAAACAAACATAAGAATAATAATTCTTTGACGCCAACAACCACTAAATAATTATTACACCCTTACGAGGAAACTTTGGTTCAATTAATAGTCACGTTGTCGGGTACTACTTATAACTACTTTTATTTCACTTACAACCATCCGAGGATGTAAATAATAGTAACAACAACAATAATAACACTAATCACCTCCTCACAGTGTAGCCATACATCCCGCGCCCACGTGCGCGCGTAAGAGAGAGGGAGGGAGATTTCTATCATCAGGACAATTACCATAATTCATGCTAATGCGGCGCCGCCGTCTTCGGCGCCGTGCGAAATTGAAATTATACCTCCTTATTGCGCTATGTGTATATAATAGGTATCAGGTATAGGTAGGTATAGGTATGCACGTGTAAAACGCCGTTATATAAATTTCGGCCTGTTCTCGCGTCGTTAAGAAAATAGTGTCGTTAATAGATATTACGCCGTCGCTCTTTTCGGCCATTTGAGATAAGAAGGAAGAGAGATATGGGAGGGAGTACTCGTCGGAGGGTATCGTGTATGGGTGGGTCGTTTTAACGATGCGACGAATGGCCACATGCGAGATAAACGTCGCATTTGTAACTAGTTGTAAGTGCATTGGAAAATACGCCGTGCGCCCCTCTCTTGGCGTTGCCGCGAACGCGATAAGTGGGCATACAATGTACTTACTTACGGAGCGTTTATACGTTTTAGCGAATCGATGTTTTTTCTCGGCAGCTGTTACAGGTTTTTTTTTAAATTTGATTACTGCCCAAGAATTCATGCCTACAAGGTGACGTGAACATTTTGTGACTCGTAGTTTTTCAACTTATAATCAACGATTGTAATTGTGTAGATCGATACTCTCGTGCGAACATTGAAAAAAAAAATACATTGTGTACAGTTACCGAGCACTCGTTAGCTCAATTAGCTAAACGTTTAGAAAAATTTAGAAAGCCCCCTACTGTCCCTCGTATCGACTTAAAATCGATCCATTTGAACAGAAAGAAAGAAAGAAAGAAAAATGAGAAAAACAAACTACTTTGTCCAAAAGGGGTCGTGATGAGCCTGCCCATGCACGTGAGCGAAAGCGGGGACGAGGGCCTGGGCAGTATGTCACCCGAGCCGTTGTCGGTGATAACCGTGTCGGCCGAGGGCCACGCGGCCATAACCGCGGCCGCCAACGAGGTCGCCGAACTGAAGCGCCAGCTGGAGCACGAGCGCGCCTCCCGAGCCCACTTGGAGAAACAGCTCAGGTCGATGCAGAGCCAGCTGTTCCCGGAGCGCTTCCGCGAGGAGCAGCTCATCGCCTATCAGCCCCACGAGGTATTTTTGTCATGTTGTTCTTGTCGTTTTTGTCTATTTAAAAGGATCGAAGCTGAAAAATGTGTTTATTAACCAAATGTAAAAGCAACCCTACCCTGCAATTGAAAAAAAAAAAAAAAATAATAATAAAAGATTTATTTACTAAGTATTATCTCTTATTATCATGATTCGCAAAACTCGTATCTTTGAATTTTCGTATCTGTTTGAAAATGTGCAGATTTATACGTTATTATGAAATAGTAGTATCTTTCTTTCCATTAAACATCAAGATACGACCTTCCTTTGTTAAAAGTATCCCGTTATTAGCTCACAAAATGAGATTTATCGATGTATAACACTCGTAAACCTACATAAAGTAGAAACAGCCGATATTGGTCAGCCATAGGCTATTAAACGGCCAGCTTAAAGCGCATATAAAAACACGTACAAGCACGTATACCAATGCCTCGTATCGTCATCTATATACATCAGGTGATCGAGCACACGAACAACGTGCTGGCGCAGGAGCTTGAGGATGGTTTGCCATCCCTGCAGGTGGTCTCAGTTGTCTCGGTGCCGACCGTCGGCTCGACCCAGACCATCGAGACGAGTAACGCCGACTCAAACACTCCACCTTTATCACCGCAGCCCGGTTGTGAGGTAATCCTGCCCAACAACCCGGACGAGATCGACGACGACGAGAACGACGAGGACGACGAGAACAACGTTGTTGTTCAAGGCGACAACAACGTAGGCATCGTCGTCAGCAAGGACTGCGTGAGCGAGCTCCTCGCCATCGAGTCCTCCCGGCCGAACAGCCCGAAGGTCCTGCAAGCCTTCCCGGTGTTCGCGACGCAGCTCGAGCAAGCCGACGCCGCCACCTACGCCGCGGCTGCTAGTCTTCCGGTCGGCCAGCCGACGACGGCCGCGGTCGCCGCCCAGTTCATCACCGCCAGCCCCACGAGGCCCTTCTCCCCCGATCAACAGGACCCCGCTAGCCAGCAGCCATCCCTGCCCCAGCAGAGGCTGCCCAGCGTCCTCGAGGCCGCCATGAAAGCCGAGCCCAAGGTCGAGGTCGAGAGGTACGTATACACCCACACCCACACCATACTGTTTGCTCCTTTGATCGGACGCGAAACATCACCGATCGATCGCTGAATCGCCAGGTTGCCCTCGCCCTCCAACTCGCTGGACGACGGCACGGCCCAGGGGACGCGGCTCTACCTGGCCAACACGTCGCGCCAGAACCTGGAGACGATAGTCGAGGCGATACGCCACCTGGAGGGTGACCACCTGTTCAGCGACGAGCCGGCCCAGGACGCCCCGCTCGCCCTTACGAACAAACCGAGCGCCGTCGGTGGCCAGCGCGTCCTCCACGCGGACGTCAACAGCTTCCTCCAGTACCACGTGCAGCAGTCCGGCGCGGTGTCGCCGGTCCAGTCGGCGCCCGTGACGACGGCCTCCCAGCAGCAGAGCCGCACCCCGCAGCAACGGCCCGGGGTCATCGTCGTCAAGCACTCGTGATCCCTGGCCCCGCGGCACTAGCTCCTTCCCCAGCCAGTCGCGGTCCGCCACCGCCGGACCAGGGTCGCCAAGCAGCCGCGTCGTCAGCGCCAGCGTCGCAATCGCTGCTAATCGCGCGACACACACACACACGTGTTTATTCATCATCATTACTTTTACTACTATCCTAACTATTCGTACTACTACTACTACTATTACCATTACGGTATAATAACCATATTATTACAATTATCATTATCATCATTACGATTATTTTTAATACTATTAGTATATTATTATTACCATCGTAGTTATTATTGCTATTATTATTATTATTATCATTAATAACGATATGGCATAAGAGTGCGAGTATGAGAAAATGAATTTATAATTCTTGCGACGGGTTGTTGTTGCAATTATTCTTGCGACGGATCGTTGTTGCAAATCAGACGGGGATTGCAGCATTGCTGGCCGACCTTGTTTTTCTAGCTTCCGAAGAATCCGTAACTGATGGGCACCTTCTTACGCATTAACTGAGACGCGCATACAAGACGACATCCCGTCGATACGCGTTTGTCTCTTATGTTACGTTTTTTTTTTTTTTTTTTTTTTTTTTTTTTTTTTTTTTTTTTTTTTTTTTTTTTTTTT